AAGAATCCAAGTGCAACCGATTAGAACTAATAATAATCAGATGCATACAGATTAGAGATGCATGCGCCAACATCTCAGTGTTAGTAGCAAAAACAATGAGTCTTTCTGCAAGGAACAATATATTCTAAAATGAAATGGAGATCTTTTTTAAAGTTTAAAGCCTCATTCAATTTTATGTCTTATAAGGTTTATACCGAGTACAATAATGTATAACTGTATTAGTTCAAATGTGAACCTAAAAATTTAGAGCCAATATTGAAAGAGAAGGCTCTGGAAATTGTTATTGAATATGTTAATGCTGTAATGAAATGCTTCTTCTAATCATACATAAAATAAATAAATAATTTTTAAAAAAGAAAAAATTGACTCCAGTATTTAGATTTACCAAGCCTTTTAATAAATAAATACTTAGTTTTTTGTTCATGCTGTGCTTTTAAAAAACTTTTTAGCTTTATTTTTATATTTTTATGTGTATGTATGTCATGCAATGCCCATGGAGGACAGAAGGGGGCACTGGATCCCCTGGAACTGGAGTTAAAGATGGTTGTTAGCCGCCATGTAGGTGCTGGGCTTTGAACCCGGGTCCTCTGCAAGAACAATCCCTTTTAATAAATAAATACTTAGTTTTTTGTTCATGCTGTGCTTTTAAAAAAATTTTTAGCTTTATTTTTATATTTTTATGTGTATGTATGTCATGCAATGCCCATGGAGGACAGAAGGGGGCACTGGATCCCCTGGAACTGGAGTTAAAGATGGTTGTTAGCCGCCATGTAGGTGCTGGGCTTTGAACCCGGGTCCTCTGCAAGAACAATCAATGTTTTTAACCACTGAGCCATCTCTCCAGTCCCTCATGCTATACTTTTTATAAAGAATAGCTCAGACTTTGGGTGGGGGGTGTCTCACACTGTATAACCCAGGTTGGCCTAGAACTCATGGCAATTTTCTTACCTCAACATCCCAAGTGCTGGGATTGTGAGTTACCACACTTGGCTCAGACCATCTTCTTTACCAGATAAACTCCAGTTCATACTGCAAAACCCAGCCACCATGAGTTTTCTTTTCCTCAGTGGCCCCAAATAGGGTAACAGTTCACACAGACACATGTGGCATCTACTGCAGCATAATTGAACAGCCTGGAAGCTGCCCACCAGTCTAACTCAGAGGGATAGCATTCCCCACGGGCTTCCTGCTAGGCCTATTTCCCTCCACATGGTCCCCAGAACTTAACTCTCTCCTCCATCTGCCTTGACAGGCCCTTCTACTGTACCCTGGGATTTCCCAGGCCCTTCTGGGTAGACTGCCCTCCAGCTGGACCCAGTGTCCTCAGATTCCATCTCCCACAAGGCCTTCCTGGAAGAGGGGTTTCAGTTGGGATACTGGGTAGCTCTTTCCTCCATTGCCCCCATTCTACTTTCTCAGCCTGGGGAATGCTTCAAATGTAACTCTTTCTGGAGACTGGAATGAAAAATGTCCCTCCTGGGGGTCGTGCTGCTTGGGGAGGTTATGGAACCTGTAGGAGGGAGAGCCTTCCTAGAGGAAGCATATCACTGGGGGTGGGCTTTGAGAGTGTACAGCCTCACCCCACTTCCAGTCTGCTCTCTGCTCTTCCCGCATGTGGAAAAAGACGTGTTTTCTCAGCTTCTGCTCTGCTGCCTGCTGCCATGCCTCCTCTAACCCCAACATTATGGACTCTCCCTCTGGAATGATAAGCCAGAATAACCTCCTTCTTTATTAAATTCCTTCCTCTGTAAATTACTTTTTTCTTTTTTAGAAAAATTATTTATATTTTTATGTGTAGAGTGTTATACCTGCATGTGTGTAAGTGTACCTGGAGGACAGAAGAAGGCACCGGATCCCCTGGAACTGGAGTCAGGGATGGTTGTTAGCTGCCATGTGGGTGCTGGGATTCAAACCTGGGTCCTCTACAAGAACAGCCAGTGCTCTTAACCACCGAATCATCTCTCCAGCCTCAGAAATGACTTCTTTTCAAAATGGCAAGTTATCCAAAGAGAAGGCCAGATTTGCTCCAACCCAATGCACAGAACATGGGGGTGGGAGTGGGGGGCAGATGCCAGGCTTCTAGCTCACATTTGGTCCCTGTGTGATTTGCCCACTCCAGGACTCAGTTTCCCCATCAGTGCAAAGGGCTGATGAGGCAGTGCAGAAAGGCCCTCTGATTCAGATAGCCCTTTTGGAAAGACAGAGAAGGGCCCTTCCATCTTGGCAACCTGTCTAACAATGAGACAAGGAATAACTATGATATTTACTCAATTTTGAAAGACGTCAGAGTGGGGTTTTCCCTGGCAGCTTCCAGCTACTCACTCAAAGGTGCTGACTTGAGCTCTGAGACAGGTCCAACTCTCTAAGTGAGAAGGACAGTTGAAGGAATGATTTCCTTATGCAGCTACCAGAAGCAACAAATGTTCCTAAAGCCCAGGCAGAACTGTGCCCACCTGCTCTCTCTCAAAAGCCTTCCAGAGGGTCCATCCATCTACCTGCTCCTCTGTAAGTGGGTACCCAATGACTCCTGGCTGCCTCTGCCTGAGTATCTTCTACATAGCTCCCATATGAGTCTCAGTTATTTACCAACCTGACTTCCTAGCCAGACTCAAGCTACCCTCTCCATGCTGGAGCTAATGCATAGTCAAGCAAATAGTTCTCAGGATATAGATTCTGACTTGACTCACATTTTGCTGCACAACACAAATGGTGATTTATGCCCATCCAAAAGTGGGCCATGATATAGATTCAACCTCACTGAGCCCAAGCAAAAGTTATGTCTAAGTTTACCTGTACCATCTAATAATACTGTCCACATATTCATGGTGTTTTCTATTCTCAAATGCGCTCTCTCTCTCTCTCTCTCTCTCCTTAAAGCACTCCTGCGACATAAGGAAGACATTACAGAAGACAGAATATGTAACATTAGCAAAGATAGGGTAATAACTATCCAATGGCAAGATCCTTAAAAGGAGTAGAAAGCTTGGGATGCAGCTCAGTTGATAGAGTGCTTGAACAGCATGCATGAAGCCCTGGGTTCAATTCTCAGCACTGCATAAACCAAGCATAGTGATACACACTTGTATCCCTAGCACTCAGGTGAAAGAAGGAGGATCAGAAGTTCAAGGATATCCTTGGCTACATAGAACGCTCAAAGCTAGCCTGGGCTATAAAAGACGCTATCTCAAAAAATAGGGTAGGGTGGTCAAAGACTTGAGCAAGAAACTGCGTGCTTGATTCCTATAGTGCTCTGTCTTCTCAAAAGGGTAGGAGTCCCACAAGGGTCACTATTCTTAAGGGAAGACATATGTGCAGAGGAAGGATGATGGTAGGAGGCATAAGAGGCCTGGAAAGCCAGAGCACAGCCTCAAGCCAATGCTTCAGACCAGAGATCTTAGTAGGAGCAACAGCAAAAGATGGATGGGCATGCAGGACGTAACCCATGAAGCCAGGAAGCCAAGACCCAAGCACAGAGGAGCCCTGCTACACTTGAGGAACAGCATCAGGCACAAGCAGGACCCCTGCAGCCACCCTCTGAGAAGGAGCACCCTTCCCTCAAGAGCTCTAAGAGGCGAGGGAACCCTGGTGCTTGACTCTCCAGGAAAGCAGATCCGGAGCCTTCAGGACAAGCGAAAGCCCTCCAATGGCAGTGCCCACCTCTCCATCGTCCCATAGCCAGATGTGTCTATGGTCTGTGTTTTTCTGCTTTTAGCAAAATAAGAAGTTTACCAGAGGAGTGGCTTCTGTGAAATCCATCAGCAGGTCACCCGGCCCCAAGGTAAAGGTACCTCCATGGTCAGAGGGGCTCTGCAAAAGCAGGCAGAAATATCCCTGGTTAGTGATGCTCAGGGCAGATGATGAGGCTCACGAGCAAAGAGAGAGGCTACTACCTCCAGAATACTGCATTCTTCAGTGTGCCAACCCCTCCCCCATATGCCCCTCTCTTAGCGATGTACCAAATAGCCAGGCTGAACCCTGACTTCTTTTCTGAAATCTTCATGGGTGGAAGTAGGGCAAAGGGTAGGGATCTGGAGTTTTTAAAGCTGCAGACCACTTTTCCTAAGTGCTTTGAGTGGGTTTTGACTGATCTTGGGGGAAATGCTTCAAAGAGTCCTTGGAATACATAAAGGGAGCAAAGACATTGTCCCTTATAGAAGGGTCAGTTGACCTGAAGGAGCTGACCAGCAGCATATAATGGGGAGGACTCCCAGGGAGAGTGGTTGGTGCCTCTGAAGACTGTTTAGGATAATGTTTTGTCCTCCTGCTCTGGGATCTTGGCTGTGTAGGTAGACTCCAGGCCCTTTGAGAAGGGAAAAAACAACCCAGAGCCTATCAGTTTGACACAAGCAGGGTACTGGGTAGAGAAATGCCCAGGAGAGGGAGCCCTAGAGCCTTTGTGAGGGTGCTATCTGCTCCCCACCCCCACTCTCCTCTGTAAATCTTTTAGCATGGTTTCTAACCAGCTGTGAGATGTAAGCTAGAAATCTGTCTCCCACTTGACAAAACTAAGAAGACTCCCAATTTAAGATTACAGGAGGTAAAGCCAGTATGGTGGTTCATGTCTATAATCTTAGCACTCTGGAGGTTGAGACAAGAGGATCTCCCTGAGTTCAAGGCCATCCTGAACTGCATAGTAAGTACCATTCTAGCCAGGACTATGTAGCAATACCAGCAGCATATAATGGGGAGGACTCCCAGGGAGAGTGGTTGGTGCCTCTGAAGACTGTTTAGGATAATGTTTTGTCCTCCTGCTCTGGGATCTTGGCTGTGTAGGTAGACTCCAGGCCCTTTGAGAAGGGAAAAAACAACCCAGAGCCTAACAGTTTGACACAAGCAGGGTACTGGGTAGAGAAATGCCCAGGAGAGGGAGCCCTAGAGCCTTTGTGAGGGTGCTATCTGCTCCCCACCCCCACTCTCCTCTGTAAATCTTTTAGCATGGTTTCTAACCAGCTGTGAGATGTAAGCTAGAAATCTGTCTCCCACTTGACAAAACTAAGAAGACTCCCAATTTAAGATTACAGGAGGTAAAGCCAGTATGGTGGTTCATGTCTATAATCTTAGCACTCTGGAGGTTGAGACAAGAGGATCTCCCTGAGTTCAAGGCCATCCTGAACTGCATAGTAAGTACCATTCTAGCCAGGACTATGAAAAAAAAAAAAAAAAAAAAGCAAAAGAAAACAAAACAAAAAGATGCCAGGACGTGATCTACAGAAAGGCAGAGAGCCTGTCTGGGCTGGGCTAACTATGGCTGAAGGGTCCAGCCACATTCTTGTGTCTAGTCTAGACATCTGAGGAAGCAACGCTAGGAAAGATTGGTCTTGGATATGCAGAATACGGGCCTGGACCATTGCTATGTAGATACTGCTAGGAATCGTGATCCCGGAAGCCGCAGCTGCCTCAGGGACCCAGTGGGTAGCACTGGGCCCAGTGAAGGTTCATGCTGAACTGGGTAGAGGAGCAGATTCCTCATTTTCAGGAGGAAGAAGCTGAGACTAGAGTTAAGTGCTTTGGAGGGACTGCCCTTTTGAACGGCCACGGCGCGTGAATGGAGGAGCCGGACACACTGGAGCGCCAGTGTTGCTGTCCGAGCACCCGAACCCTGTACACACCTTTCCTCGTGGAGTTGCATTGATCCAAGCACTTTAGCTCAGTATCCACTTGGACAGCAACGGGTTGACTCTATTTGAACCAATTGTCAAAGAGTGACCATTGATTGAGTCACTCAGAGAAAACCAAGAAAAATGTCTCCTGTAAAGGCCTTTGTCACAGTGCAGAGATTTCTTGAAATTTCAAAAGGACAGAGAGATATTTCCCATTTTCAACCTCATCTTATATAAGGTATGGGACGGGGACGCATTTACATTTTTTGTTCCTCCAAATTGTCCATTATAGAGTGGGGGTTTGGAGGACTGCTTCTCCCTTGAGTTTACAGTGAAGTAATAACTAATGATATTTTAAGATGATTTAACATATTTTTACTGTTTGTAAATTATATTGCATGTGCGTATGCATGTATGTGTGTGTAAATGCACACATGCCATAGTGTAGAGGTGGAGGTCAGGAGACAACTCTCAGAAGTCTGTTCTCTCCTTTCACCACATGGGTGTCAGGGATAAACTCGGGTCATGAGGCTTAGTGGCAAGCACCTTTACCCACTGAGCCTTCTTGTCAGCCCTAAAGATGCAATTTTAAGCTAACATTGCCCTCAAGCTGAATCCCTTAAGCCAATCTAAAAGTACAGTGCACACTGTCTTGTTTTGTATCACATAATGTCTTTCATGAATAGCTGACTTATGTTTTAGGGTCAGGGAGTATGAAAATATATTTTGGTACTTTCATTTTAAATTCTCAACTCTTTTTTCTTAAAACCAACATGAAAGCTGGGCATGGTGGCACACGCCTTTAGTCCCAGCACTCGGGAGGCAGAGGCAGGCGAATCTCTGTGCGTTCAAGGCCAGCGGGGTATACAAAGTGAGCTCCAGGCCAGCTGGGGCTACAGGGAGACCCTGTCTCAAAAAGACCAAAAAAACAAAAACCCAATGTTAATGCCTTAATATTTATTTATATCCTCATCACTTTAAGTTGGTTTTGCTTCTTTGGGTGAGGGGGATGCAGGACAGGGTCTCATATATCCCAATCTAGATTCCAACTCACTATATAGTGGAGGATGACCTTGAACTGCTGATCTTGCCTCCACTTCCTGAACGCTGGGATTATAGGTGTGTGCCACCCTGCCTAGTTTATGCCATGCTGGGGATCAAACCCAGGGCTTCATGCATGCCAGGCAAGCACTCCATAAAATGAGCAACATTCCTAGTTTAGTTTTACTATTTTTTAATTCAGACATACAATTTATTATGCGAAAATTAAATGCACACACTAAATGCCATTCACTAAGTGAAATTTCTCCTCAGACTCTTTCCCCTACCTTGGCCCCTGGGGACAGCTGGCCCTTGCCTTCTGACTTCTGAGGCGAGCTGACTTTCTGGACCTTGGGGGACGCCAGCGGCACCGAGACTTGAGTGGCAGCCATTGTGGTGTTTGTGGTGGTGGCTGTGGTGGCTCCTACTGCCTCAGCCAGGTCTGGAGGGAGGTCATCTTCATCACTGCGGTTACTAAAAGCATATGAAGCTCTGTTCATTACAATAATACACAGGCTGTGAGGAGTAGAGGGAGGGTGGGAGGTCAAGGTGGGGAGGGAACAGGGCTCTCCAAACTGATGACCAACTGATGTCCAGATTATAGGATTCAATACTAAAATAAACTTGGGCTGGGTTTTCTGCCACTCGACAGGTATGTGTGTGTGTGACTGAAGTAAGCTACACATCTGGCACTTATCATTTTAACCATTTATAAGTGAACAATCCTGTGGCATTACATATATTCACAAAGTTGTATAACCATTCCCATTGCATATTCCCCAAAATTTTCATTAGCTGCAATAGAAACTGTTTACTGATCAAGAACTCACTGTGCCCTCTCCTACATCCTCCAAGTAATGCTGCATCTCATGTCTTCTCTGTCTCTATGGGTTTACCTATCCAGATGCCTCACAGAAGTGGAGCCACACCATGTACATCGCTCTGTGTCTACTGTGTCTTACTATGTTGTTTTCAAAGTCCAAGTGTATGCTATATATCAATATTTTATTGCTTTTATGTTGAAAACACTCAATTGCATGGGTATACCATGTTTTCTTACCCATTTCTCTGCTGATGGACACTTGGCTGTTTCTACCTTCTGGTTTTTGTGAACAGTGTTGCTATAAACACAGATGTACAGATACCTGTTTGATAACCCCCCAAATTCTCAATTCTTTAGAGCTGGCATTTTACCAAAGAGTAGAATTGCTAAATTCTGTAATAGTTCTATAAACAGTCAAACTGAATATTGGTATTTTGAGTGGTTTCCCTTCGGCAAGGGAATACAAGGCTCTTAGGACCCCACTGCTCTGAGTCAAGGTCTAAGGACCCCTTTTGTGGCCTAACAGGAACTTACCCTCTTAAAGGGGGGGGAGTTGGACAAATTTGTTTTTGGGCCAAGTATCTCTGGTCTTAGAACCTCTATGCTGGAAGAAGTGACCCAGGAAGAAAATGAGACTACACAGAAAGCTGTCATAAGGAATTCTGGCCTGGCACTGTTGGCTCATCTCCAGGGCTTGGATTTGAGAGCAAGCTTTGATTCATGTACTCATGGGATGCACTGTGGTCTCCCACATGGTGTGCTAAGGCTGGAAATCCCTTCTCACCCGCTCATCCTGATATGGTACCAAAACCATGCCATTGATTACTTGTTCTCAGTATGAATACTATAAGTTCAAACCTATAAAACTGTAGATGTGGCCTGGCTTCTAATGTCAACCAGAGGGATCAGTAAAGGGACCACTCTGCAGGTCTGGAGTGCTCAAACACCACACATCCCAGAGGAACCACCAGCATTGTGGAGCTCCTAGGACAGATCCTTTGGACCCTTGGAACATCCTGCTTGGTAAGAGTGTCCTTGTGTATTTAAGACCTTGGCCCATGCCAGATAATTTGTGCTGTCAGTGTAATTGATGGCAAAACACTTGCTTTAAAAAAATATTTCATTTATTATTTATTTTTATTTTTTGTGTATGAGTGTATTGCCTGCATGTATGTAAGTGCACCCATGTCATGCCAATGCCTGCAAGGTCAGAAGAGGGCATTGGATTCCTCTGGAGCTGCAGTTACCGATGGTTGTTAGCCACCATGTGGGTGCTGGGAATTGAACCCAGGTCCTCTGCAAGAGCAGCCAGGGCTTTTAACTGCTGAGCCATCTCTCCAGCCCTAAAACACCTGATTTTGTTTGCTCAAGATTTGGAGCCATGATGTATTGTTCTGAGCTCTGGGTTCTGAGCTGAAGACTGTCTTGGGTCAGTCAAATGGGAACCCCATGCCTACATGGCTGATCCCTAATGAAAGCCCTGGATAGCAAGATTTTTATTGCTCAAGTGAGCGTCCCTGACTGGCAATACAGCATGTCACATGTTATTGCTGAGACAATGAGTCCCTGTGCACATGATTCTTCATAGAGGACCACAACTCCTGCCTGTTTTTAACTAGATTCCATTCCTTTTGACTTTTCCAATATTAATCTATATAATTTGCTGTAATAAACTATAACCATGAATATAACTGTTTTCCTGAGTTCTGGGTATCCTTCTAGTTAACCATCAAACTTGAAGATGGTCTTGGGATCCCAACACATGACCCCTAAGTGTCTCCATGTGGACCCTTTGAAGCCACTTTGGCACAGGGTTGATTTTGGAAATGACAGCTGAGCTGAAGAGCATAGATAAAAGATCTGTGACCCATGGGCATAGCAGTGGGATTCTTGGAAAACATGTGACTACCGGACATGGCTTCAGTGTGGATCAGCCCCCTGGGGATGCTAGACCATTTTGTGTATGGAGAGGTCTCAGGAGGCAGACTTAACATGCACTACTAAAAGGGGAAAAGTGATGTTTAAGCCAGCATACAGAAAATGAGTATTACCTGCATATGTGAATCCTCACAATGAGGCGGCCACATGGTCACATAAACATTTACCTGGTTAATTGTCTCAGCGGTCTTATTTCATGATCTCCATTTTTCAGAGATGTAATGTTCAGTGGCTGACTGTGAAATTACTGACTATCACATAGCTAGCTAAGTGGAGGAGCTGGGTTAGAAGTTTTTACCTTATTTGTAAAAATTTAGTCACATAGTGAATGAAGTGGAAAAATAGGATGAATATTTTTTAGCTCATTTTAAAACATTTTAACCTTAAAAGCAGAGCTACTATTTACTTTTACATAAAAATTCATTTTTAGAAACATGCTCATCTCTACAGTAAGGAGCCAGCCAAGAGTGTATAAAATTGGAAAAGCTCTAAATTCCTCATTTTTAAAAAGTCTTATTTCTATTATTTATTTTGGTATATGGGTGTGTGTCTCTGCATGTATATGCCATGTGTGTGGGTGCTGGATCCCTTGGAGCTGGAGTTATAGCAGCCCTGAGCTGCCTGACATGGGTGCTGGGAATCCAACTTGAGTCCTCTGGAAGAGTAGCAGTGTTCTTAACCACTTAGCTATCTCTCTTTGCCATTTTTAAAAGCATACTAGTCATTAATGCAAAAACAATACGTGTATCCACCTCAAACGCTCCTGAGTTCCTCTGCTTTCCATCTCTTCTCTCTGCACCCCGTCATTACACTTTACCTCTCTGTTGATCTCCAGGAAAGAACACTGTGGATTTTATTTATGATCTTAAGAACAGTGGCTTGACAACTTGCTCTGAGCCCCTGGATGGCATGAGGGCTCCACCTTAGCCTCAGAAACGCTGGGATTGCAGGTATGCACTACCATACCCAGTAAAAAGAAATAATTTCAAGGCAAAGATCTTTTCCATACAAATATGTACTTATTAAAGTGTTCTAGGGACCTAGAGAGATGGGTTAACAGTTAAGAGCACTTACTGCTTTTGCAGAGGACCCAGGTTCAGTTCCCAGCACCCACATGCTGGGACATGATAGTTAGCACCTGTCCTTAATTCCAGTTCCAGGGGATTCAATGCCTTCTTCTGGCTTCTGTGGGTACCAGGCACACACATGGTACACTTGCATACATGCAGGCAGAACACTCATACACATAAAACACTCATACACATAAATAAAGTATTAAGATATATACCTGTAAGCCAGGTGTGGTGGCACATGCCTATAATCTCAGTACTTGAGAGATATAGGCAGGAGGATCAGGAGTTCAAGGCCAACATGGGCTAAAATTTCAATGCATATATCTCTGGCCTGAGAGTTTGAATTTTATAACAGTACACATAACTGTATTTCAAAAAAAAATAATGTAAAAACAGTTCCAGAGACCTGTAAGGCCAAGTTTCTCATCTGTAGTTCACATATTTATTAATTTTTTTGAGACAGGGTCTCCCTATAGCCCCAACTAGCCTGGAGCTTACTATGTAGAGCACACTGGCCTCGATGACAGAGATCTATCTGCCTCTGTCCCTCAAGTGCTGAGATTAAAGACATGCATGCACCACCATGCCAGGAATGTATTTCTCAATTTTCTCGATATTTAGGAGTTAAAGAGATTAGTAAATGAGTGACAACTAGTGTCAAGATTTGAGAACTATTTCTGGAGCTGAAGGGATTCTCAGTGGTTAAGAGTGCTTGCTGTGCAACTATGGGGACCTGAGTTCGGATCCCAGCTTCCATGCAACAAGCTAGACGTGGTCTTACACACCTTTATCCCCCATGCTGTTGGGGGTAAAGCCAGGAGGACCAGTGGGGCTTGCTGGCCACCTGCATAGCTGGAAAATGCAAGCTCCAGGTTCGAGGAGACAGTCCGCCTCAGAAAAAGAATAAGGCAGAGAACTGATAGAAGACACCTGCCAACCTCCTCCACCTCCACATAAGTCCACAGGCATACACCCCTGTACACACGTGTGCATACACCACACACACACATACACACACACACACATACACACACAGATACACACATACACGCACATACACACACACATACACGCGCACACACACATACATACACACACATACAGAGACATACACACACATACACATACACACACATACATACACACATACACACATACACACAGAGACATACACACATACATGCACACACACACACATACATACACAGACACAGACACATACACATACACATACACACACATACATACACACACACATACACACAGAGACATACACACACACATACACACATACATACACAGACACACACACATACACATACACAGACATACACACACATACACACAGACATACACACACATACACACACATACACATACACAGACATACACATACATGCACACACACACACATACATACACAGACACAGAGACATACACAGACATACACACACATATACATACACAGACATACACAGACATACACACACACACACACACACACACCATGAATCATTTCTGGGACAAAAAGTAAAGACTGGAACAATCCTATCCATTAATTTTGCTATTTTTGCTGTTTTCGCTTAAGGGAGGAATGCTGTCATTCCTTGATTTTTGAAGCAGAATATTTGGGAACAGCCAAAGAAACATACATTTAAGATAGAGAACCAAAAATGATTTTCTTAAAAGAGCCAATTTGGTAGGTAAGTGAAATTTTCTTTCCTTCCAGGCCACCTATAGTCAGTCATTATGTAACACCATTACCTATCCCCAATGGTACTAATAACATTTTGAGTTTCAAAATGGAAATGGAAAGGCAAATCGTGCCAGCATTGTTCATGGAGAAGATTTCTGTGGTTTAATTTGTCCCCTAGAGATCAGGAGGGCTGCTAATTATCTGAACCCTATTCATTCTGGTTTTCCAGGAAAATACTGCTGCTGTATGTCTGGAAGTTTCTATCAAGGCTAATGAGGTGGCCTGTGTCTGCCCTGAAAACCCCTGAGCATGCCTCTTTGCCCTTCCACAAGGTGCTAATGGCAGGTCTATACTGTTTGACGACTGCCTCTAGCATCATACCCGACCTTCACTTTGCATCCTGGGATCCCTACACTTGACTTTCTCAGAGGCACAGCCTTTGCCAGATCCTTTGCCAGGTACTTTGCTTATTCTTAGTTTAACCTTCACAAATCCCTAGAGGTGGGTATAAACTCACCCATTTTATAGATGAAAAAAGAGCACTTGAAGGGGGGGGTCTGGTGTCACAATTGCAGCTACTTACGAAGCTGAGGCAAGAAGACCAAAAGTTCAAAGTCTGTCTGGGCAACTTAGGGAGACCCTGTCTCAAAATAAAAGGTGAAAAGTGGACTGGAGATGTAGCTCAGAGGTAGAGAGAGCACTTGTCTTGCATTGGTGAGGCCCTAGGTTCAATCCCCAATACTGTGGGAAAAAAGAAAGAAAAGGGAATAAAAGGGAAAGGGAGGGGAGGGAACGGGAGGGGAGGGTAAGGGAGAGGAAGGTAGGGGAGGGGACGGGAGGGGAGGGTAAGGGAGAGGAAGGTAGGGGAGGGGATGGGAGGGGATAGGAGAGGATGGATGGGGGGGTAAAGGGAAGGGATGGAGAGATTGCTCAACGGTTAAAGCATCTGTCACAGAAGCATGAGGACCAGAGTTTGGGTTCCCAGAAACCTATGTAAATGCCAGGTAGGTCTGGCACTGTCTGGAATTCTAGTCTTAGAAGGAAAGACAGGGAATTGCCAGAGCAAGCCAGCTAGTTACTAGTCATATCAGTGAGCTCTGGGTTTGACTGAGAGACCCTCCCTCAATGAATAAGGTGGAAGAGAGATCACGGATGACTCCCAACGTCAACCTCGGGGCTCCACATGCATACAAACATGTCTCCACTCTCACGCAAACATGCATACTCACTTGCATACCATACACACATGAAAATGGAAAAGAAAGGAAGAAGGGTTGGAGAGGTGACTCAGAGGTGAAGAACACGGGCTGCTCTTGCAGAGGACATGAGTTCAGTTCCCAGTATCCACTTGGTGGCTAACAACTCTCTGCACCTCCAGTTTCAGGGGATCCAGTGCCTTCCTCTGGCCTCCATGGCACTTACATACGTGCAGGCAAAACACTCATATACATAAAATAAAAATAAAATAAATAAAAAATCTCTTTGGAAAACAAAGAAAGGAAGAAAGAAAGAAAGAAGAAAAGGCTAGGCAGGTGGCTCATACTTTTAATTCCAGCACTGGGGAGGCAGAGGCAGGTAGATCTCTGTGAGACTGAGGACAGCCAGGTCCATATAGTGAGTTCCATGAGCCCCCACCTTCTCTTCTCTTTCCAGTGCATAGTCCCAGGCTCTGCTCTGGAAACAGCTATGAGGCTGCTCTGAAGGCAAGAGAGGAGACATGCTTATTCTCCACTGATAATCTTAGAGCACAAACTTGTGGTGGGAGGGAGGGAGAGAGGGAGGGAGGGAATGGAAGAAAGAAAAAAAGAAAACAGAAAAGAAGAAAAGTAAGGTTGACTCAAACTGTAAGTTTCCCTAGTTCCGAGCTATAGATGAGCCAGAGTGCTGACTGGCTGACTGAAGCCTCTCTAACCCCAGAGTGCCCAGACTTTCCATCATGCCTGGATTTTCCTCTTCAGGTCCCTGATCCATTACACATCCAAGCATAGAGCCTAGGCCATAGCCAGGGTCAAGAGATGGGAACTCCATTGTGATCAGTACTCCGACCATGGCAGATCCACCCTGCTTCCTACAGCACTTAACCTGTCTTGTTTTGGTGGTTATTTGCTACTCTGTCTTTGCCTCCAGTACATTATAAGTCTTTGGTAGATGGGAATTGTCAAAGATACTTTGCTATTCCCTGACAATGCCTGGAACAGGCTACTTCACAGAGCAGCTGGGGCACTTTTGTGGATCTCAGCAGAAGAGAACTGGGTGGGTCCTGGTGGGATGCGTCTTCTTCCTCAGGGCCCATACATAGCTCCATGCTTAGCTCTGGCTCTGTTGACTGACCACGATAACCACTTTACTATCACACCCTGAAGGGGGTGCAGCTTCTGCTATGGCCTCTGGTGAGCCCCGTCTTACTACTCATACACCCACATAACTGCCTCCTCTACAGTGTGTACTGGACCTAGCAACTTCTTTCTAATGTACAGAAAATGGCAAAAATAAGAGGACACCATTTCTGTGATTGGGTTATAAAAGACTGTAACTTTCATCTTGCTAGCATTCTCTCTTACCTCTCCCCATGTGCTGTCTCTCATAACCCTACATGAACACAATCTGAGAGTAACCTTGTTACCGCTCCCCCCCCAACAGCCTCCAAGGGCATGAATTATGGTAGCAGCCACGTGAATGAGTCCCTCGATATGACGATGGGCCTCACGGACAACTTGAATGTAGCCTTGTAGAAGACCCAAGACAGAAGCCTCAGAGAGGCGAGACCAGACTCCCAATCCCTAGAAATTGTGAGGTGGTGTGTGTGAACTGCTGGGAGCAGTTTATTACTTAGCAATCCACAATGAGTTCATGTGCCCACTACGTAATGTGTTCAGGGAGAAAGTTCAGGTCCCATCATGACTTAACATAGAATTAAACAGAATTTGGGGGATGGAAGTCTGGGAACCGTCTGGAGAGGGGTGCTAAGAAGTATTTATAACCAAGCATTTACATATAATGGGAAAATACGAAGCACAGAACTCACAAACTATATTGCCTTGTTAATTTCCTCACTCGGGGAGGCTTGATTTCTGGTTTTTCCACAGCTGGTTGGACGGCTTCCACACGTATAGGAATAGGACTTCTAGAGACATAACAAAAACCAGAAAAACACAAATAGAAAAGGGTTTGTGATCTCGTATTGGCCGTCAGGACTGCTTCCAGATATTTATAGCTTAGTAACATTGATGGTCAAGAAATCTTTTTTTTTTTCCTTTCTGTTCTACTTATTTAATAACTGAAATTATACTAAAAATTCAGAAAATTTAAAATCAAATAAATAAGCAAAAATTATAGGGAAGAAAATATAACAAGCAGGGAACTGAATATAAGTGGCCAAATAAGATGGCCTGGCCCCAAACCACTCCTGCAGGTTTTGCTAGTGAAATGAATGAAGAAAAAGATATGGCTAGCCAGGTTTTAGTTCCCAATAACCTAGTAGCTATATTATTTGGTACAATAGCTCTCAAGAGCTACCACTATAGCATATAACAAAATAGAATATATATTAAACACTGGAGAGATAGCTCAGTCGTTTAGAGAACTTGCTGCTTCTCCAGAGGATCCAAGTCCAGTTCCCAGCATCTGTGTCAGGTGACTCACACACCTGCCTTTAACTCCAGCTCCAGGGACTCCAATACCCTCTTCTGGCCTCTGAAGACACTGCATACATGTGGTCCATACACATAAATAAAAGTTTTTATTTCATTTTTAAAAATATTTTGTTATTATTTTTATGTGTATGAGTGTATTGCCTGCATGTGTGTATGTGTACCTGTGTCACGCAATGCCTACAGAGGTCAGAAGGGGATGTCAAATTCCCCTGGAACTGGAGTTAGGGATGGTTGTTAGCTGCCATGTGGGTACTGGGAACTGAACCTGGGAACTGTCCTCTGTAAGAACAGCCAGTGCTCTTAAGTGCTGAGCCATCTCTCCAGCCCTAAATAAAAAATTTTAAAACTTAAATTTATCTTAAGTTTTTCTTTAATCATTCATACCAAATAACCCAATGAGCTCCACTTAAAACTGATTTTTTAAAAAATTAAATTTGTATTTACCTATTTATTCTGTGTGTATGTGTTTGCATGTGCAGAGGTCAGAGGACAACTTGCAGGAGTTGGTTTTCTCCTTCTACCATGTGAGTCCTGGGGTTTGAACTCAGGTTGTTGACAGGTTTGAAAGCAAGTGCCTTTACCCACTGAGCCATCTCACTGGCCCCAAAATGGTAATTTTAAAGGAAATCTTTAACACATTTTCAATGGGCAAGACTAACTTCATCTTTTAAAAAAATCATAAATTAAGCCGGGCGTGGTGGTGCACGCCTTTAATCCCAGCACTTGGGAGGCAGAGGCCAGCCTGGTCTACATAAGTGAGTTCCAGGACAGTTGGGGCTACAAGGAGACCCTGTCTCAAAAAGACAAAAAAAAAATAATAATAAATTATCTTCTAACACTAAAGAGGCATCAAAATGAGTTGACGCGCGAACAGGGGACCTGACAAGTTCAATAACACTCTTGCGCTTCATTTTGTCTTTTATTCAGTGCCTCCCTGTGCGATAAGTATGTGGCTAGTGCTCATAAACGCTTGTTGAGTAAACACAGAAGAATGAATAAAGAACTGGACTCAATGTGCTGAATTCAAGGGGAATCCCAGAGTAAGCTAGGCATGGTTCCTGGAAGGGCTCATGTTTCCTAGGGATGCGTCATTGATCTAGGTCACACAGGCTAAGAAAACCTCACACAGTTTGTTCTCAGTTTGATGGAAGCAAGACCATCAAGATGGGAAAGAGAGTGGAGGCCTGGGCTGAATGCAGGGCACCATCCCCACCACCCCCATACACAAGAGGTTCTAGAAGGGAAAGTAATGTGGACAGAAAGGAAAGCAGGGACCATGTGAGGAGGACCCTCGGGCTGAGGAGGTTACACTGAAGGTAATGGCAGTCTCTAGAGTATTTAGGTAAGGGAGTGGCATCACCAGATTTGTGTGGTAGAAAAGTTCCCCCGAGTGAGGAAGAGTATACTGAATAGAACTAGGACATCCTAGTAATTCAGAATGAGAGATAATGGGTATGTGTGTGTGTGTGTGTTCAGGGATTAAGGTCTTGAACAGGAAAAGGTAGATTTTGGAGATAACATAAAAGTTAAATTGATGGGTTATGATGACCAATTAGGTGAAGGGATGAGGCAGTTAGGGAAACAAGGATCCGTGAGTTCTAAACCTGGGTAAGGAATAGGTAATAATGCCATTCTCTAAGATTGGAGACTGGTGGGGGAAAGAAGGCAGGTAGGGTAGGAAGTGGAGTTTTGTTGTGTTTTGTTGCTTCCAGTGTTGGAGCTGGAACTCAGGGCCTTGTACATGCCACACAAGTGCTCTACAGCTGAGCTGTACCCCTAGACCAAAATAAGTCTGCGAAATCTGGGAGGGAATGTATCCCTAGAAAAGACAAAGTTCTCTAATCTAGAGAAATGCTAACTTTTACTCTGAGCATCAAGTACAGTTCCCTAACACCTGCTATGTTTGCTAAATTCTTTATCCCGTCCCACCACGTCCCACTCTTGTCATCAACACACAGGATCTCAAAGCACTGAAACAGGATGCAGAAATCTAGTCTTTGCTTCCTTTTTTTCATGTTCTTGGGGATAAAACCCAGGGCCTTGAGCATGCTGGGCAGGCTCGCTATCATGGAGTTACACCTCCAGCCAGAGCCTGGATTCTTAGTAAGACAGTCTGATATGCATTTGAGGTGAGCACCTGAGGGAGCCCTCCGAGGAGCAGGTGGTAGTAACGGGAGCAAACCACCAAGGAGGCAACGAGAGTTCGATGACTGACAGCTTGTTAGCCACCTGGGCCAAGAGAGGATTTCCTCTGAGTGTGGGGGTCACAGCAGTAGTGGCTGTGGAGCTTTAAAAAATTTGTGTGGTTCCCCTCTGACAAAGTTCAAAAATGATGAGTCCAAGGGAAGAGCAGCAAGCAGAAACCAGGTTGAGAAGGCTCGTCTTCCCCACGTTACCAAGGCCAACTCCACTCTAAAAGCAGAGATTTTTATTTGTTTATTACATTTCAGAAAAAAAATGTGTGTGTGTGTGTGTGTGTGTGTGTGTGTGTGTGTGTGTACATGTGCCACAGCCAACAAGCGGAGGTCAGAGGACGACTTGCAAGAGCAGTTCTCTCTTTCCACCATATAGATACTCGGGATCAAACTCAGGTCATAAAGCTTGGCAGCAAGCACCTTTATCCACTAAGCCCTCTGTCCTGCCCATAACAGCAGTTTCTTTTTCAAAAGAATATTTATTATTTTTATTTTATGTGTATGAGTGTATTGCCTGCCTGTATATAAGTACATCTGTGTTGTGCAAAGCCCACATAGGTCAGAAGAGGGTGTCAGATCCTGTGGAACTGGAGTTATAGATGGTTATTAACCACCATGTGGGTGCTAGGAATCAAACTTGGGTCCTCTGCAAGAACAGTCAATGCTCTTAACTGCTGAGCCATCTCTCCAGCTCCAAGAGCAGAGCTTTTAAGGGACTTTACTCTGGGTATGACAAGGTCTGCTCTACATGCTCCAGAGACAACCCAAAGTGGCTGAGTTCTGTTAGTACAGTGGGTACCAGTATTAAACTGGGACTAAGCAGCATTCTCAAGGCTTAAAGGAAGTCTCTAAGCTGGCTTCTTTGGGTTCACAGTCCCTGTTTCTTTTTTTCTCTCTGATGGTGCCAGCCAGTTCCCCCAGGAGCAAGCAATGCTGTCTGGATAATTTGGAGGACACAGTGTCATTTCCCCATTCAAACAAGAAGCAACAGACCTTACATTAGTGTCCTGAAGACTGGATTTCTTATTGATATTTACAAATGTGGAGTCTTCTGTTCCAATCTGTTAAAGAAAACAGTCAAGTTAGTAAAAAAGTAGGTAGCTTGGTATGTAAAAATGCTTTCAGGTCTCCTGAATTCAAAGGATTATAGAGATGAGCCAAGGACCACAGACATAATTCATCAAGTGTTCAGTCAATAGCGAACTGTTTCTGTTTACACAGGCAAACAATAGAAAATGTTTTCTTGAGTCTTTCCTCACTACTGGGGATTAAGATGTGGCCTTTCAAATGCAATCAAGTCTTATATTCACACTTTTATTTAGCACTTGCTATGTGTCAGCTCCTCCTCAATGAGAAAGGGATGGTATAGGAAAAGGCAACCCCGCAGTTCAATCCCTAACCTATAGATCACTATAGATCACTACAGATCAAGAACAATAGTCAGCTCTATGCTCACATAGCATTTATAGTTACACTTTACAAAGGGACTTGGAATCGGTTTTTGTACATCCTTGGAACAAACCTGAAGGAATTATGTCATTTGATTTTGATACAAATCTTGCCTTCCTCCCTCTGGTAAGTCCCAGAGAATAACAAGTAAGGAAGGTGGGTGCTGGGTTCCCAACTCTAGGCTTTATGCTTGCATAACAAGTGCTCTTGAACTGCTGAGCCATCTCTCTAGTCCCATTGAGAATGAGTCTCGCTATGTTGCCCCAGGCTGGTCTCCAGCCCACTCTTGGCTTTTATGTGGGTGCTGGGATCCCAACTCCAGTCTTTATGCTTGCATAACAAGTACTTTTGAACTGCTGAGCCATCTCTCTAGCCCCCTTGAGAACGAACCTTGCTATGCTGCCCCAGGCTGGTCTCCAGCTCCTGGGTTTAAGAGATCTTTCTGCCTCAGCCTCCCAAGTAGCTGGGACTACAGGTGCATACTACCAGACCCAACTAGTTCCCATCTTACACAAAAGGATGGGGCTTAGAGAAGTTAACAGACAAACTTAAAGTGACATTATTGATATAGATCAGGATCCAAGCCAGATTATTTGACTTTCCAACTTGCGTCCTATCTTCTGGCTTCCTGTCTCTATTTCAACCCAAATGGAAGAAACTTTGTAAGCTTGCTCTTGTCTTTCATGGAATATTCTGGAAGGATCTAAATGATATAGATCGCTATATACATAAATGGAAATAAGAAGCTATTACTGAATATTTATTCTTGGCATCGTAGGCTCCGAAGAAATGAAAAGCCTTGAATGTTTTTCTAATGAGCTTTTAGACAATCATTATTATTTCTTACATTCTTACTGAGTGTGTAGGAGCATGTGAACATGTTTGCCACATGTATGTGTTGAGGTCAGAGGACAACTTACTGGAGTTGGCTCTCTATTTTCACCATGTAGGTCTTGAATTGAACCCAGATCCTCAGGTGTGTTTGCAAGTGACTTTTCTTGCTAAACCATCTTGCTGGCCCAATCACAGTGTTTTAAAACTTTTATTTATTATTATTTTTAAATTTTATGTGTATGAGTGTGTTGTCTGCATGTATGTAAATGTACCTGTCATGTGCAATGCCCACGGAGGTCAGAAGAGGGCATTGGATCCCTGGAACTGGAGTTACGGATAGTTGTTAGCCACCATGTGGGTGCTGGGAATTGAACCTGGGTCCTCTGAAAGAGCAGCCAGTGCTCTTAACCGCTGAGTCATCTCTCCGATCTCCCAATTACAGCTTTTTATACACTGTTTTCAGGTAAGGGATGGCCAATGGGTTTTTCCTTGAGTGTCACCTCTTGGCTGTGTCACTGACTTAGAACCCCATAGCAAATGATTCTGAGGTTGCATTTAGGGTCATGGAGCGACTGTAATCTTTATGGAGCCAGTGATATTTGCTATGAGTCTAAGTTAGAGTTTATGACAGTTATTAAACTATCATCTCTCATCTCCAAATTCATCCTCTGAACCTTTTCCTGATTGGATCTGGGGTTGAGAACCAGCAAACTCATTTCTGCTTTGCCAACAGGGAGTGATGGAGAGGAACTCATTCCTTTTAGTTGGCTTCCTGTTCTTTTGGGTCACCCTTGCCTGTATCCTTCACTCTGGTGCCCAGTTCTTCCACAGGAACATGTGAATCAGGTTACAGTATTCCAGCACTGGCAGATCCAGCATCATGGCATCATCACAGGCACAGCACCCATAGAATGACATCCTCAGAGTGAGGGACCAGGCCGGAGTGCCTGCAGCTTTGACACCAGCAGTGGCCATAGGCCCAGAGCTCAGAAGTCTAAGTTTTAACTGTGTAGGAGTCTTCTGCCAGGCACCGAAAGGCTCTATTTGGAACATTTTTGTTCCCCTGAGCTGTTGGGATGGGAAGCAGAAGTAATTCCTACAGTCCCCACCTCCAGTCCCTTAGTGTGACTCAGAATGCAGTTCAGAGAGCTACTTAGACACAGAGACTCACTAGCTGCCCCCTGACTTACTGAATCCCTGGGGATGGGACCCAGTTCTTCCAAGGACCCTTCTGCATTACAGATATGGAAGATTTGCTGCCTCCCAGTTCTCTTTTTGTCTTTTCACTTGTCTAAATAATAACTATACCAGTTAGTAATTCTTTGGATTGTTCCAGGCTTTTGAGCAAGTGAGATGGCTCAGTGGGTAAAGGGTTCTTGCCACCAAGCCAGATGACCTGAGTTTGATCCCCAGGAACCACATGGTGGAAGGAGAAAACCAACTCCTGCAAGTTGTCCTCTTACCCACAAACACACCATGGCATGTATGTATCCCTCCTCCTCCATGAATTAATAAAATGCAATTTAAAAATAATAAAAATCCAGGCTCCTGTGCCAAGGGGAGGCGCCTGTCTTCACAACGGAGCCTGAAGGATACACACAGTTCTTTTCTAGGGCGCCAAGGAAATCCTATAACATGAAATCAAAGGGAGATTCATGACCCCACCCCCATACCTGGGCATTCACGCGGGAAGCGTTCTCCAGCTGTGCTTTCAAAATGTTACACTTCACATGACCTGCCACTGGGGAAGGCAACAGTGGAGTCTGAAGTGTCTTCTCAGAAACTTTCTTTTCTTCAGCCTGAGAAGCAAAATACAGGTGACAGACTGTGAACAAAGAGAAAAGAAAACATACACACTAACCTTTCTCAACAATCACAACACACAGGGATCTAAGTGTATAGACGCATGTGTCCACTTGTGCTGCTGTTTTCCTATGCAGAAGGCTCCTAAACATCATCCCACTCTCTAGTGAGTTAGGGAGGCAACATACATCCCACTCTCTAGTGAGGTAGGGAGTCAGGGTGCATGTTCAAGACAGGAAGGGACCCCTCCACAATCAGGAAATGACAACCAGTGACAGGACCAGGGCGCAAGCATTTCCCACGACCCAGAGCTATTTTCCCGGTAATTGCTACCTCTGAGATAGAAAGGCCTGCTTCAATACTTGTAGGATCAAGGGAAGGAGTGCAAAATCTTTGCTGGTGTTTGTTCAATAAATGTTGCTGGAAACTATGATTCTTAATAAGGAATTTGTATCTATGTTACTTTATTCATTCATCCACTTATATATTTATTTATTTAGATGTGGGTGGATGGAACCCAGGTCCTCATGCATGCTAAGCATGTGCTCTACCATTGAGCCACATTCCTAGCACCTGTATAATGTTACTGGACTTCAGTAACTGGTACTCATGTCACAATTTCTGCCATCCTCCATGTGTTAAGTGAATATGTCCTCAAAGTTCATATGACTCAGCTAAAGTAGATTACTCTGTGATTGCATATTCATATTTGATTCATGTTCAAAGCAATTATATCTCTGCAATCAAAGGCTTTAGAACCATTGTTTTATTATAGTAGACATGCTATTTACATAACTATTAAAATAAAAGTTATTCATCCCTGCTTATAACCTGAAATCATCTTTTATAGAATACGTGTCACTTTAGAAAAATAATGTCTTAATGCTCATCATACCATTGGTCATGGTAATAGCATGTCCCAATGTAATATGGTGCTTGGCCTAGACTTGGTGTCCAATAAACACCTCTAAAGGTAATTATAGTGACACCCATTTATTATCAGAAAAGATATGTGCTAAATAAGAAAGGCCCAAGACTTTACGATTGTTAGCAGCAACTCACTAACATCAGATGGAAATATAGCTTGTTAGCCACCATATACCAGGGCAAGAAGAAAATGTTCTAAAGTACTCAAGTTCTAAAACTAATATTATTCACTAGAGATTCAAAAGTCCCATTGAATACAGGCATTGTGGTACTTGTATATAACTCCAGTACACAAGAGGTAGAGACAGGAGGATAAGAAGTTCAAGATCAGCCTGGATTGCATAGTGAGACCCTGTTTCAAAAGACAAAACAAACAAAAGTCCTATTGTATATCACGGTATTCATTGCAGGAATATTATGAAAGCCACGGTGTGGGAATGACTCTTATTAATGAACATACTCTGGACTAATGACTTTTAATTAACCCCATGTGCTTTTGTGTCTCGTGACCTTGGCACCTGATCCTAGGCAACTTCAACTTGGTACTTCACCCAAAAAGATGATGAATGAATGTGGGTGTGCTTGAGAATTAACATTATCAAAGTGCTGAAAGGCAGCGCCCCTTCTCCATTGGCCACAGTGGAGACTGGGAAGGAGTGTGACTGTGGATGAATGAGATATTCTAGAACTAGGGATGAAAAGGTCAGATGGTCTGCTAAGATTAGGGTACAGCCAAGCTTGTACTTCCCCAATTGAAGCTGGGTGGGGCCAGGCTCTAGGACACAGTTCCAGGGACAGAGTCCCAACAAGACCATTCCATCAGCACAGTTCCAGGAGACAGAGGACTCTAAGAAATACCAAAGAGAACGAGTGTCCTCTAAGTTTAAGCCTACTCTTAAAAACTAAATTTAAGGGTTAGGCTCTTTGTTCAGGTAATAGTAATGTCGGTGTAGTAAGGCTGCACCACAGCGGAAGAGCAGAGCAAGTGGCTGGCTGACATAATAATAAAGAAATAGGACATAGAATTCAGTTTCCCAGAGGGACCTCTAAATACACAGTTCTGGTAGAGAAGCAAACTTCAGTAATACCATTTAGTACCCAAACAGACAGAAGCTCTGGATTCAAATCTTAACTCTTTTCTTTTCTAACATCATCAAAATAGATGATGGCAATGCCCATGATGATGATGATGGTGATGATGAAGACAAATGTTTATTATGAGTCAGTCACTGACTACACATTTTGTATGCCTCTCTCACTGGAATCTCACTTGCTCATCCTATTTAGAAATAGGTGCCTTTTAAATTAAAAAAATGTTTATTTAGTATATGTGCACAAAATCACACATGTCACAGCATGGGTGTGGAGATCAGAGGAGAACTTTCAGGAGTCAGTTCTCTCCTTTCACCATGTGGGACCTGGGGATTGAACGTAGATTGTCAGGCTTAGCAACAAACATCTTTATCTACTAAGCCATCTTGCTGGCCCATCTTGCCAACACTTTTATTATTTTCACTTTAGCAAAAGGCAAAAGAGAGGACTGGGAATATAGCTCAGTGGTAGAGCACTAGGTTCAATTCCCAGCACTCCTCTGACAAAAGGAAAAGATTTCCATGATCTGAAAAGAGAGCAGAACATCATGATCCCCAGTTTACAGATGAGAAACACAAAGCTGAGCTCTGAGAAGCCACTGGTACAAGCTCACAAGAGGGAGCCAGGAGCTGTGATTTTGATGGGGTCCAAAGTCAGAACTCCTGGCCACACAACCCTACTAGCTCCCCTAACCTCTCTGCAGCTTTTTTCCCTTCCTAAGAACTTTTGGGTGTTCAAACGATTCAGAGAAGTATGAATGGCTTTCTCATGCCAAATTCTACAGTTTGAAAAGAAAATACAGCAAGAAACACCTGGGATATGAGAAGAGTGTCGTCTTAACTCATCAAGCTGGTCGTGAAGAGCTGGCTCATCTAGCTAGATCCATTATCCCAAGGGGCTGAGCTTCCTCCTTTAGACAAATAAGTCACACACACACACACACACATACACACACACACACACACACACAAAAAAAACTTACTATCTTGAAAGGTAAGGTTTACAGTGTGGGTTTGGAGTAATTTATCTTCTGTTTATAAATCCAGTTACATTAAGATATGCATTTCATACTTGAATGGATGCTTGCATGGCTGTATGAAGAATTCATTTGTATTTAGTTTTAATTGGGGGAATGGCATGTTGGAAAACAGGAATTTAATTAGCTATCGAGCCCATGTGAGGGTTTTGACAATGGCTTAGAGGAAAACGGTTTTACTGACAGAATGACTGAAGACCTACTTAGAATAATGGAGTGGTGCTAAACTAAGAAAAGGATGGCACCTCAGCATTGGTCTTTCACCTTGAATTTAGTCATGCTAAACTGATTTTTTTGGACATAAAATTCAAGCTGGCTTATTCCTGTCCCAGGTAGACAAAGTGAAGGTAGTACTGTTCACCTGTCTGCATCAACTCAGGTGAGAGTCAATTTATATTTTGAAAAATCTGTGCATCATTATGTGAACCCTTTTGTCTAAAAGGCATTTCTAGGGCTAGGGAGATGGCTCAGTCAGTCAAGTGCTTGCCTTACAAGCGTGAGGACCTGAATTTGAATCCCCAGAGCCCAGGTTAAAAAGCTGGGTAGGGTGGTGTGCACCTGTAATTCCACACATGGTAAGATGGGAGGCAGAGACATGGATCCCTGGAAGTTCACAGGCCAGCTAGCCTGGCCTATATGGAGAAGTTCTAGGCCTTGAAAGACCCCGTCTCCAATAAAAGGTGGAAGAAGCCTGAGGGCCAACACACGCAGTTGTCCTTTGACTGCCACATGTGCACTGTTCATGCACACATCCACACTAACCCACATGTGTGTACACACACACACACACACACACACAGAGGAAAGAATGGAAACACCACAGGACTCAGGCCTGTGACACAGGGCAGGCATGCTCCTTGCTGAGTTCTAGGGCTGCACCTTGTTGATGTTGATGTGCAGAGCGGGCCAGGGTCCTGCAGCCTTCACAGTCTCCAGCTCGAGCTTCTTCAGGTGAGCAGCGGCTTCGCTGTACAGAGCAGGTGCTCCTGGACTCAGTTCTACAAAATGGCGGGGGCAAATGAAAAAGCAGAGCTGAAATGACAGCGAGATCTGAAGGAGTGACACCTGCAGGAGCCTGACTCCCTACACCTCTCCTACCTGCCTTCTAGCTTGATGTGGTCTGATGATGCCTGAGGACAAGGTTTCTCTACCTAACTCCCCATATAGAAGCTGGATAGCCCTGGGGTATGTTGCTTGACCTCTCTGAGCCTCTGGACTGATTAAAAGTGAAAATAAAAATCACTTACTTGCAGAGTTGCTGTAATATTGAAGTCATTCTTATAAGCAGACTTAACTATGAAAAGCTCTTTGCAAACTGATGGGACTGGTGTTCAAGTTAATGAACATAGCAAGGTGCCTTTGAGAGCCATGTTGTGTCTCTAAAATCAAAGCATTGACTTTTTGTACTGCGTCACATTTGTTTCCCACCATGCCTCCCTCTAGCTTGGATTTACTCATTAATACATTAAGCATTCATTAAATATTAAATATTCATTATACAGCAATGCGTGTACTTTATTGCTTGTTAGCAACTGGGATCTGGGGAGTTGAAATAAAGAAAGAAACATGACATGCTTTTAGTCTAAGGGAGAGACAAATATTCTACATAAAAGCATTAAAATATTTCATTCATTTCATAGGCACAAGAGAGAAGACACCCCAAAGCCAGGGATGATGGAGGGGATCAGGGAATGCCGCACTGATAATGTGTGAGCTGGCTCCTGAGGGATGTGGAGGAGTTAGCAGGATCAAGGGCATTCCAGGCAGAGGGAACAGCAAGTGTGAAGGACAGGGCTTGGATCACACAGTATTTGGTGAGAAGACAGCAGTTCTGTGTTGCTAGAGCACGGGGAAGAGTGGGGAGGGGCTGTTGACATCTGCATGTGGCCATGCTCCGAATGCGGCCTTATCCAGGGGCAGTGAAGGATGACGGAAAGGTCCTAAGGCATTTGCATTCAGCCAGCACTCTGACACTGGCAGTTCTGTATGGAAACTGCACTGATGGGGCCCTGTTATAACAGTCATCTTGATGCAGAAGGAGGAGGTGGATTTGGGCAAGGGTACTTCCCATTCAGTCAAGAACGGTCTGCAGGTGAGGCCTGAGGGGCTCAACCTATTTCACCAGCTAGATGCCTGCAGGGTGCTCATTCCACAAACTCTTGCCACTTCACTGAGTAGCAGGCTGAGAACCAGAGGGTCCTCTGCTGCACAGTGAGAAGCAGCATCACAGCCTCCTGATTGGCCCCTGCCTCAGAGCTCTTGAGGGAGGGAAGGGAGGCCATATGTTACAGGAAGTGGAAAGGAGGCTTAAAAATGCCATAATGAAACCCAGTATTTGTTCATTAAAGAACAGATGTTCTGGGCGTGGTGGGACATGCCTTTAGTCCCAGCACTTGGGAGGCAGAGGCAGGTGGATGTCTGTTAGATCAAGGCCAGCCTGGTCTACATTGTAAATTCCTGGCCAACTGAAGCTACAGGGAGACCTGTCTAAAGGAAAAAAAAAAAAAAAAAAAAAAAAAAAGATTCAGACAAAAATAACTTGTTCTTTATCCATCCACCAGAGTCAAATTCTTAGGTACAGTAAAAGTGAGTTGCTAGAAAAAGTCAGAAGTGGCGGTCGGAAAAGGACAGAGATTTTACTGTAATCAGGACAATAGGAATCCCCGGACTCCTTTACTGGAGCCTCGGAGTCCATGTCGGTAACTGCAGAAGCACTGAAGACACAAAGGAATGCTCACCTACAACCAGGCTGAAGTGGAGGCTTCTGGGAAACCTCTACATCCAGATGGCCCTGCCTTTACGCATCAGGCTCTATGGTCCAAGCTGCCTAACTGGTAACCATGGCTATGTTCCTCCCACTTCTGCCCCTGATGCCCCTCCCAATTCCGCCCTCTTCCCTCCACGCACTCACTGGGGAGCGACTTGCTGGAGTTTGGGGACCTCAGTGGCCCCTCCTTGTTCTCCAGGGTCAGCGAAAGGCCGTAGTTGGAGTGGGCCTGGTGCTGGTGCTGATGCTGGTGGTGATGCCTCCCTGAAGCTTTAGCAGCGAACGGTGTGCCCCCGTTCTCCTCGAGGCCGAAAGGCAGCCGGTCTGTGGGGCTGAGTGCTGGAGAGGGGAGTGGGTAGCTGTGGTGGGCAACAAGGTCAAGATTTAGAACATCACAGTGTCTTGATAGCACCTCAACCCCCAGGGGAAGGAGGCTCATCAAATAGATTCCTATTTAAAATAAGGCATCATGCCAAACCATGTGCTAATAAAAAGAACAAAGTGGGAATTTGTGTATATTAGAAATCTGGCATCTTGACCCTAAAAATCTCCTCACATTGAAATGGAATAAAATAACTTACATGTTAAAAAAAAAAAAAAGTCATTCTAATAGAAGGTGGAAGGAAGAAATAAAAACTATGTTATGAGGCTGGGCGAGGTGGCACACGCCTTTAATCCCAGCACTCGGGAGGCAGAGACAGGTGGATCTCTGTGAGTTCAAGGCCAGCCTGGTCTACATAGTGAGTTCCAGGACAGCTGGGGCTACAGGGAGACCCTGTCTCAAAAAGACCAAAAAAAAAAAAAAACAAAAAACCTATGTTACAAGCCAGGAGTTCTCTCTCCTTCCTAACATGCCAAAAGCCTTCTTTCTATCCCTTCCCCAATATTTCTGCTCAGGAGTAGCCTGCGACTCAAGCCTGACCAGCCAGACTCTTCCTCAGCCCCAGTTAGAGGGATTTGGTCTGGGATTTGATCTAGAGACATTCATTTATTCCTGACTTTCAACACCTGAAAACTAAAAGAGAGGGGCTCCCTTCCAGGAGGCTCACAACCACCTGTGACTCCAGCTCAGGGTATCTATCACCCTCTTCTGGGCTCTAAGAGCACTGCACTCACATGTGCATACCCACATATGGACACTTTAAAAGTTTTAATTTTAAGAGCATATTTTTTGGCAGGGCTTATATAAAAGGAAGCATATTAATATCAAACATTAAAAAAATTTTTCAGGGTTCAGTGAGAGGGTAAAAATGCTTTCCACCAAGATTGATAATCTGAGTTCAATTCCCAGGTCCTACATGGTGAAAAGAGAGAACTGACAAGCTGTCCTCTGACCTCCACATGTATGCTGTGGCACATGCCCCACCCCACAGTCACATAAAATTTCTTTTTAAATTTTTCTATTTTTTATTTTATGTGTATGAGTGTTTTGTCTGAGTATATGTAAGTATACCATGCGTGAGGGCATGCAGTGCCCTCAGAGACCCGAAGAGGGCACTAGATCCCCAGGAACTGGAGTTACTGGCAGTTGCTAGCTGCCAGGTGGGTGCTAGGTCCTCTGCAAGAGCAGCCAGTGCTGTTAACCACTGAGCCATCTCTCCAGATCCTAAACTGTAATTTTAAAAGTTAAAAAAAAAATTCATTGATTAAATGTTCATTTTTCTCCTGACTGTAAAAGAAATGTAAACATTTCTGTGGGCTCAGTACTTTGGAGTCAGGCCACTGTGTCCACAGTGTACAATGAATGTCAGCTCTGGCCATCAGAGTGAAAACTGAAGTTTCTTGTGACCATATTTCATAGATGTAAATTAACTCTATCCCTGGAAATGAGGCCAATGTATGAAGGGAAAGAGGAGCAGAGGTTAAAGATTGACAGAGTGAGGAAAAAAAAATTTTTTTTTTTTTTTTGAGACAGGGTCTCCCTGCAGCCCCAGCTGGCCTGGATTCACTATGGAGACCAGGCTGGCCTCGAACTCCCAGAGATCCACCTGCCTCTGCCTCTGTCTGCCCCTGCCTCCCGAGTGCTGGGATTAAAGGCATGCGCCTCCACTCCTGGCTCAAGAAAAAACTCTAATGGTATCATTTGAACACCTGGATCCAGCCATACCTGAAGCTGATCCTGAAGAGTAAAAATGCAAGAGTCAGAATACACTGACTCCATTTTGGCTAGCTGTTTCAGGCATGTTGTAAATCTCCAGTTGCTACCCCCCCACACCCCCGCCCCCAAAGCCATAGATTAAGCAAGCCTGGGCATGTAAAAGCCTTATAAGGTAGAAACAGAAACTTCTGGCCCTACAGATAACAGCATATTCCAGTGCCTTAAAGACAGCCCCTACCAATAAGAATCCTCCCCGTACTCAGAACATAGGACCATCCAATCATTTTAAAATGCATCTGGTGCTCACAGGCTTCAGCAAAACTCCCTATAAAAAGCTTGCCCCACCCTGGTTCGGGGCTCTCAGTACGGATCCGCTGCGTAGGTAAAATCTGAGGGCTCGAGCTAAAGCAGGAGTAAAGGCTCTTTGCTGTTGCATACACTCTGGACTACTTGATGGTCATTGGGGGTCACGAGATCTGGGCGTAACAGATCCTACCCCAAACCTTTCAATTTACAAGGCTCAGAAAATGCATGGTCGACCTAAGTAATTGAGTTTCTCTCATTTGTAAAGCACATGACCTAAATTTTTGCTCATTTATTATTTTTGTGGAGGAGGGTAGATGGCTGTGGAGTTTCAGGAAGAATAGGTAGAACAGTTGTTATAGGTCTGAGGTACAGTATGAGCCAAGGTTGAAAGGGCAGGAAGAACAAAGTATATGGAGAAAAGGGAGTGAACAGGGAACTGGCAGGAGGTGAGGATGAATGACAGGGTGGGCTGGTTTGAAGGGTGAAGTGTGTAGGGTTATCCTCTGGGCAGCCAGGGACCCCTCTGGGATTCTCCTGAGAGTGGGAGCAGGGTTTGGGGACCCGGAGTTAGGAGGAGGGAACTGAGCCTCTGTGCAGAGGCAGGGCAGAGTCCAGAAGAAAGATGTGCTGTTCCGCATTGGCACAGGCCCTGGATCCCTCCACCACCCTGATGGCAGTGGGTGGAAGGAGGCAGGGTTAGGACCTCTGGAGGTCTGCTCCACCCACCGCTTCCCCTTGGAAACATTCCTGCAACACCCCCCCGCCCCCCGCCCCCGTGGGAGCAGCAAAAGGGCGTCAAATTGGAGCTGAAAGCCCTGGGCTGTCCTGGGTCCTGCCCCAGCCCTGCAGGGGAACCTTGGTGGTCACTTTTCTGTAGCACACAGTGAGCCACTGGTGGCTGAACTCATCTCCAGAGCTGAGCTGTGCAGCTGGAATTTGAAAACAGCTCTGTGGGCCACATGGCTTGTTGACATTATTTTCCCATCTTTCAGATGTATTGAAAACATCCCTTGCCCCATGGAAATGCAAAGGCTGGGCTTTCAAAAAAGAGCAGATGTCCTTTGTGGGAACTGGAGATGGCTCCCAGCCTGTGGCTGGCCTTCATGTACCCTGCATTCTTGTCACTTCTGGTCTGCTCAGGTCTGAGTGGGTACTGGGACTATCCCAGCAGGAGGGACAGATCAGAGAAGTAGTGAGAGGAACAGTGAGACAGGAGGGCACTAGACAGACGTGAGGGAGGAGAACACGGAAACAGGGAGGAGTGAGGAAAAGCCGGGAAAGGGGCACATCATCCCGGGAAGAAGGCAGGTGGGAGCGAGGGCTGCTCCTAGGAGCATGAGCTTCAGCCTCAAACGCTTGCTGGCTTGCAGTGAGTGTGGGGATGGCATCTGCAGGGAAAGACGACCAGCGGCAGAGAGCTGTACAAAGTTAGGCCTGGAAGAAGAGTTGGAGAGCTCTGACGAAGAGTTCCTGGAGGATGGCAAATAGACACCATCTCTGATGCCAGCTCCAATCCATTCTCACTCTCTGCCCAGGAATGAGAGATGGAGGTTGGGCCCAGCTCAGAGAGAGTACTGTGATTGATTAGTTATGCCTACCAGGGTCTTGGAAGAGCACTGAAAAGGATGCGGGTTTTTTTTTTTTGTTGTTTTTGTTTTTTTTTTTTTATTTCAAGGAAACAGCATGGAGACTAAAACAGTAAAAACCAACCATACGCAGACTGAGAAATCTTTTTTTTTTTTTCTTGGACTGTTTGAGACAGGGTCTCCCTATTGCCCCAGCTGACCTGGAACTCACTCTGCAGACCAGGCTGGGCTCAAACTCACAGAGATCCACCTGCCTCTACCTCCCCAGTGCTGGGATTAAAGGTGTGCACCACCACTTCCGGCTGAGAAATCATATTTGATAATATATCAAGTAAAATATGAGTGTATGACTTTCATCTAAAGCTCCTTAAGGGGGTGGATGAGAAAGAGACAAAGGGGAAGAGGAGGGCTGGGGAAACTGACTGGGACAGGACAGAGGAGTCTGGTGCAGCTGAGGGTCCTTACAAGAACAGCAGTTCCTGTGGGTAGCAATTTCCTCTGATGGTTAAGACTCTGGAAGTAAACAACTCACAAGTCTCAGGAAGTTCCTGAAACCTACCAGATGCAACAGTTTCCTTCCTCCCCAAGGTTAGATAAGTAGTAAGGACTGTGGGGAGAGGAGATTGTCCCATCTGTCCAGCTGCCTATGAGTCATGCAGGGTCATGTTTTCAGCCTTTGTGAGTTGCACGCATGCTGGGATGGTGTTTGAGTGCCATAGTGGCCTTTGAGTCACCTATGGTCCTGTAAGTAGCTCCACTGGTTCACCAAGTTAGACTTTAGTAGTATGGTTACTTTGTTGTATTGTTGATTCCCTGTCTGGAGTGAGTAGATAGATATCTGTTCACATCTCTCCAGGAAGAGTGCCACTCAACAGTTCCTAAGCAGGCAGTGGAATGAGCTGGAAGCATTCTCCACTCACACTTTGGGAACATCCTGAAGATCCAGCACAGGGTTTTGTAGGGTGGTGAATCTGTTACGGAGATTGCTCAAGACCTCAAGCTCCAGGATCAACCCTCCAGGATTCCTGGAGGCACCATTCACACAGATTTTGATGTAAATGGCATCTACGAGGTTGTGCATTTGCCCTTTGACCTCAGGCAAAGTCAAGGTGAAACTCAGCAGCACACAGCAACACACCAGCCTCAGGGAAACTGACCAAGGCCACCTCCATGCTCACTGCCTTAGACTGACACTCCTGGGGTATTTGGTATTCTGGAAAGGGGGGTCACAAGTACTTGTAGAGTAGGTGACAGAGCCTGCCGTGCATGTTTCCACTTCTGCTTCCACACACTGGCAGATGAGAGGAATCTGTGTGGAATGAGGGGCTGCCAGGTATCTGGCATTGGGTTAGCCCTTTCACATTTAATT